ATATGGGGAAAGAGTATCAAATCTACTAAACTATATTAAAAATTTTAGTATGATTAATTGCTAGCATAATTCCCACAATTATTATTATTAAATTTCCCTTTATGGAAAAGCAACGATGTTGTCATTTTTAATTTTTGTAGATACAAGACCTGCTTCATCAACCTCATCCAAAAGTCCCCCATATTCTAGTTGCAGTGAAGATGAATCTGCACTGGGGGACAGGGAAGCCCACGCTGAAAACAGTCCAAATGAAAGTGTCCGAAGTCCATCTTCTCAGGAGTTGAGTGAAAATGATGAGCCAGGAAAAACCCACCTTCCAATTGAGAATCCTCTAGAAATCGAAATTGAAGACCAAGAAATAATAAAAGCAGATGTGGAGACCAAGCCTCTGCCAATAGAGGAAAACTTGGAGAATGTTCTTGAAGAAGCAGAGAAAGGAACCCAAGTGATTGCAGAGGGTTTATCTGAGAAGTCCAGGGAACATGTTCCCAAGGAAGACAAGGAAAAGAGTAAGAGTAACCTTTGGGAAGGAAGCGCTGCTAAGGTGAAGGACAAAAAGGCAGGTCCCCGTAGGATGGATAAAGGTGGTAAGTATAGCTGTTGAGTTGACCTGCCATTGTCTCTATGCATGGAAGCTGATCTTGGTCATTGCACTCTGCCAAAGTTTGGGAAATACTATTGTGATGATGCCGGAGGGATTCAATTTTTTCCTATTTCTCTCTGTGTCACATGATCATACATGTATTTTCAGCTTGTTGTTTTCCTTTATTGCATTTAAAAAATTACTTGGTAATTCTTAAGCAGCCTGTTTCCTATTTTCTGTAAATTCCTTCCTATGACAGTTCTATCTCAAGAATCAAATAAGACACAATACATGTCTGAAGGCAAGGGTATGTGTAGCTTTTTAGAGGTTATTTATTCTTATCCAAATATGCATTTATATGTATATGTAGCTAGCATTGATAGGTGCTTGCTATGTGCCAGTGCTAAACACATATATTAACTCGTCTAATCCTCACAACAGCCCAATATCCCCATGAGTTAGGTTCTATTATCATTATCTCCTTTTTACAGATGACAAAACTGTGGTTTGTAGAGGTTAAGTAAGATGTCAAGCATCATACAGCTAATAAGAAGCATTCCTAGGATTTGAATTCAGGGAGAGTGGTGCCAGTTTCTAAAGGTTTCCAATTTTATCTGTGCAATAGGAATTTATAGTTAAATAAAAATATTAAAAAATTCATAGAAAACTCCAAACTGCACTTTAAGTTCTCTGAAACTGAGTAACTTTCTGATCCAGGGGTTTCTTGGGTGTGTTGGACAGTTCCATTTGACAAAGAAAGTCTTGAAGCGTGTCCTAGGATGATCAGGCCCCAGTACCTTAGACACATGGAAGGTCTGATACTTTTCTCAACTTTAGGAGGACAGTTAAAGGATTGAGTTGTGTCCTGTGGAAGGCCGGTTGTGCCTGCAGCTACTTGGCTCTCACATAGTACGCTGTGCCCTATAACTTGTATCTTGGGCCTTTCCCTAATCTCTCCTATCTGTCTACTCTGCCAACATGGTGGAAATTCTTTTTGACTCCAAGGTAAAATTTGTTGTCACATTTTAATAGTACTAAAATTCATCTGTGTTTTCAAACTTATGAATGCTCTTAATGTCTATAACATTTATTTTAGAAACTTAAAAGCTGTTATTAAACCACTGGTGCCTACAGCTAAGAATTGAGGATGTTGAATAGTTGTCTTTCCATTCAGTCATTATCATTAACCTTCTACTATGCATTGTGGTCAATAAGAAATGTGTAAGAGAGGGCTCCTTCCATAAAATGTTAAGAGGCAGGCTTGGCACGCCAATAACTGGACAAGGTCAGTAGTCACCTGTAAAACCAGAGAAGGTACAAATGTTACGGGGCTTCAAATGAAGAGAAGACTCATTTGATGAAGTCACCTTGAAAGTTTTTGTGAAGGACATATTTGAGGAAGGCTTTAAAGGTTAGATAAGATTTTGAAGGTGGAATGGAGGAGGATAAATCATGCCAAACAGCAGGAAGTAGCAAGCGATATAACCTTGGAATAAGTTAAACAAAAACTCTAGAATGAGCAGTTTGACAAACTTCAGCCCACAAGCCAAATCTGGCCTACCACCTTTTCTTTTTGTATTGCCTGTGAGTGAAGAATGTTTTTTTCTCTTTTTTTCCCCTTTCATTTTAATAAGGTTGGAAAAAAATCAAAAGAAGAAGAAGATGTGACATGTGAAAATTATATTAAATTCATATTTCAGTGCCAGAAAATAAAGTTTTATTGGACTAGAGTCATGCTTATTTATCTACATATTCTTAGTGGCTGCTTTTGCTCTACAAGGGCAGAGTTAAGTAGTTGCAACAGAGACCCTATGGCCCACGAAGCCCTAAGGATTCACTGTTTGGCCCTTTACAGAAAAAGTTTGCCAACCTCTGCCTTAGAATTTTAACATTAAGACCCCCAACATTTTCAAAATGATTTTGCCATATGTGAGTAAAGATTCTTATTAACATACATTTGAAGCCCCTTTATAAAATAATTCAAATTTTTGATCTTGGATCTTATCATTCAATTCTGGTACAGGTAATGTATAATCTAGAAAATTTGTACAATTTGGCAAACTGCTGACCAAAAAGGTACGGATGTTAAAGTTCAGTAGCAACATTGACGTTATTCCTAGTATTTCTTTTATTTCCACTTCAGAAAACTAGATTGTTTACCTGGATTTATGGAAGTAGACAACTTTTTGTAAAATAAGATGCACATGATATAGGCTGAAATTAGGGGATAGATAGAATAACAGAAGTATTCGACTAGGATCATATCACTTGGAAGAGAGTGAGGTTTTTTTTGTGGTACTCAGGCCTCTCACTGTTGTGGCCTCTCCCGTTGCGGAGCACAGGCTCTGGACGCGCAGGCCCAGTGGCCATGGCTCATGAGCCTAGCCACTCCGCGGCATGTGGGATCTTCCCGGACCGGGGCACGAACCCATGTTCCCTGCATCGGCAGGCGGACTCTCAACCACTGCTCCACCAGGGAAGCCCGAGAGTGGGTTTTTTTTTCCCCCTCTGGATTTGTGAAATGAAGAGTGTATAGGTTTATTATTTTTCTCAACTATTATGGGAAACTTGTGTTCTTGACTTGATGACATCTATAATTTTAAAACATTTTGTTATTATCTTTTCATTGAGGTGGGTTCAACACTAGATGGCAACTTTTATGACTATTTATCTCTCTTATGCTCTAATATATGTACCAAACCTCTTTATCAGTGTTTATTTTTCATTAACAGCTTATGAAATAACATTTAGAAAATAGAGAAAAGAGGGCTTAAAATTATCTATAGATTTATCACACACAAAAATCACCTTTAACATATGGTCAGTCTTTTTATTTCTAAAGTTAGAGTTTGCAAGTTATGTTTTCATATTTCCATAAAATGTTATATTTTGCTTTTTATTCTTAACCTTATACCATAAGTATTTTTATGTTATTATGTAATCTTCATGAATATGTTTAATGTCTGTGTATTATTCCATTCTGTGGTTTTTTCATAATTTAAACATTTCCCTATTTTTCCTATTTTCACTAATACTAGTAGTACTCTAGTATCTTATTACCTACGATAATTTGAAATTAATAATTATTTTCTTAGGCTAGGCTCCAAGAAGTTTACTTTCTGGATCAAAGGTAATAGACATTTTAAGGTTTGTGAAAAAAAATTTTTTTCTTAGAAAAGATTTGTTGAAAAGTTTATACAATACAGAACAGATGAGAATAAGATGAAAGCTAAAGGCTTCCTTCCCTGGCCTTTATTCTTTTTCCTGAGAGATAGATAACTGTGGATCAGTTTTTTTGTGTGCATGATTCCAGAAAATTTTCTCTATATACACACATATATAAGTGCATTCATATATTATATATATACAGACCTTATTTTTATATACAGATGGAAACATGATACATTTTTGTTTTATAACTTGTTTTCACTTAACACTGTATCCTGAATATCTTTTTATATTAGCACATATAACTGTACTTTTATTCTTATTTACTGTATATGTTATGCCATTGTATTGCCTTAGTATCATAACTTTGCAACTTTTCTTAAAAATATGTTGCCTTCTGTGTAAGAACTGGTAGATTTGTTCTATGGTCCATCTTCCACAAAAGAACAACATTTCTGGATTACAGAGGCCTGGAGGCAGAGTGAATAAAGTACAGTGGAAAATAAGATTATTTTTTGAAAATAAGTTATTAATAAGCAAAATAAAACAAAGACCATGTAAAATATTTAGAACGATGTAGAAGGATTATGGTATCAAAACCTAAGGATTAGTAGATTATGACAGCTGAGTGCTAATGTTTTAAAAATAAACTCAAGGAAATGATGCAATAAATTTGTAAATATTTAGAATAATAGACTAAAGGAAGTGACAGATATTCTCAAAAGCCTTTATATTCCTAAGAAAATTTCAGGTAAAATAAACCAGGTCTTGAAAGTATCGTGAGTTATGTTGATATTGATGCCAAGCAAAGAGGTTATGGTGGTTCCTCCTCCTTAATTGAGCCTTCAGTTAGGTGGCTGAGGGAGAGAGGGATAGAATCAAAGTTATATGCTTGAAATGAAGGTCATTTAGGTCACAGCTTATATGAGTTAGATCAGAAGGCTGGTGAAGATTGAAATGTGTGTATTTTATTTAGCTCCCTGATTAGAACCTTAGATTGCAGTGAAATGGGGGCTGAGATAATGTGTAAAAGATTCTATCTCATTTTTTATAGCACTGAATTAATCAATTTCAACTAGGCCTAGAATAAAAATTGTGATTATGTTAAGAATAAGTCTATGGGCTGAAAAAATGACGTACAATGAATGATGTTTCGTTGAGTCTAAGTTAATACAACTTAATCTGAATTGTTTTCACTTAAGATCATAGCAATGGATAAATTTGTAAAGTACTACAGTCAATGCCTTATTACCTTTCAGGCTGATAGCATAAAACGATAACTTCCTTCCAACTATTTTATAATATGTCACACTTAATTGGGCTTTGTCCAGCCCACCAACAAATCAGGTGAATTTATATAAAAGATATGTCATATGCAGTGAAGTGGATAAGGTAAAAGATTATAATTGCTAGCTACAGTGAGATAGTGCCCTTGAGAGTTAATTCAGTGTTATAGGGTATAGTGTTATTTTCGTGTGTTTATTTTTCTCTGTTATTTTTAGTTTAAGCTGTCTTAATGCATTGTGACACATGGTGTTCTAATGATGGAACAATTCATGTGGATTTGTGAAATTAATATAATTTATACATTATGAATATAAATAATATATTAAGAATAAAGTATTATATAGTATAAAGTAAAATGTATGTAGAAATAGGCATTTTATACTTTTATATATGAATCAGCAGAAGTCATAGTGCTTGGCCAGGTAATATAGACCTAAACATTGTTAGGACCAAAGTAAAATGCAATTTTATCATCACATAGGCAGGATAGAATGGTCTTGATGAAAGAACAAGAAAATCATGTGTTATGAGTTGCAGTCTAAATACAAT